AAATCTCACAGACTGCATGTACCTTATATCGCCATCCAGCGGGCGCCCGGGTCCAGTTTGCACGAGGGGCAGTCAGCGGAGCTAGCAGAGAGGAATCAAGGAGATGTTAGACCAGGAGATCTCTGAGCTCCCGCTGCAACCGCCCCCATCGTTTCCCCCTCCCCTTGAGGGAGGTGAGTCTTCAGTGGGGATCCGGACTGTGTCTGGCTGAGTCTCTTCAATGGAACACCTCGGTTATTATATCCCTGACAACATGAGACTGTGGAAACATAAAACTAGGAGCAAAAACATTCCGTTTTATGAAACCAACATTCTCTTTTTGACTCTACTTATCACACTACTTCTCTACCTTGGTATCCTCACATCCCTCAGAGGTGCCCGCTAGGTGGCGCTCGTCCTCCACTGTACCCAGGCGAAAAGGGTACTTTTCTTTTTAAGCCTGAGAGGTGATTTCCAAATCTGGCTTTTTACAGGTAAGAAAACTAACTCCAAAGGAACAATGTCTTCCGTGAGGACGTATCGCAGCATCTCAGGAGCCTCGAGCAAAACTCAGGTCCCCATATTTCTGAACTCAACGGAACTTCCATCACCTGCTGTCTCCCTCTACACATGGTTTAGTTTATTAATTAGAATAACAATGGCGTATTTCTTTCCTTCTACATAAACAAGGTTTAGGTTCAGATCCACAGGCCTTAGCGTTCTTTATTTTCAAAAGTCCGAAACTGAAAAAATCGTTAGATTTTCCTGCCTAATTCTTTCTTTGATTTCCTTAAGTTCGAAGTTCCTTTTCTGATGAATGCGTAGCATAGAAATAAGTAAGGAAGACAATGGGAAACATTTAATGAGAATAAACATGAAGGTTTATGAGAAAAAGCGGTTAGAGTAGAAAACCCAGCTGGGTTGGCATTACACAAAGTCAGATTTGAATCCTGATTTAGCTGCTTACTGATGGTGGAATCATTTAAACTCCATGAGTCTCAGTTTCCTCATCTGTAAAATAGGGATAATAATGTCTTCTATTCACTCCACCCTCAGGGTTATGTAGACTAAAGAAAACAATAAGCTACGGTCCCGGCACATTGTTGGTGAGCAACATTTGTTTAAATATAAAACTACCTCGGCCTATAGTAATGGTCTGATATACCTGGACCACGTACGAGAAAAATTCTGGTGGGGTCTGAAAATGGATGACCTAGAAACCCAGGAGCCAGTGTCTGCTGGCGGGAAAGTGGCGTGTTGCTTGATGCTTGGGATTCTTCGGATGCTTGGAGTGCCCTCGGGAGCCTGTGGATAGGGACAGAGGGTAAGTGCCGAGCGCGGCCTGCCTGGATCTGGCTCCTACCAGGCGAGCCAGCACCGGCATCCTCTCCCTGCCCGTCAACTCGCGCAACTTAGCAACGGCATCGGAGAGAGGTAAAAACCCTCGTTTGAAGGGACTGGAAAACGTGGCCAAGAGACGGCAGGTGACTTCGGTCACCGCCGTTGGCGTCTGATAGACGCGCTTGGCCTCCCACTGCAAAACAGCCTCTGGCGCTCGCCCTCGGGCCGCTCTGGGCACAGGAGGCGGTCTCCTCTCCGGATCTCCCTCCATCCTGCCCCGGGCGCAGGTGGAGGGCGGCAGGGACGCTGCGCGCGGTGGCCCCACAGGAAAATCCCCGCGGACACGGGTCCCGGGAGCGTGCGTAGCAGCTTGCGGCGTGCGCCCGAGTAATGGGGTTTGCCTCCTCCCGGGGCCCTCGGCTCTCCCACCCTCATCCTGCGCTGCGCCGCGGCCCGCGGAAGCCCCACCATCCGGCAGCGCTTCGGCTCGAGGTTGCTCCCGGGGCCGGAGGGTACGGCATGTAGGGGGCGCGCAGGAACCAAACTGCCGAGGAGGAAGGGGAGGTCGAGGGTGGAAGTTGGAAAGGAGAAGGGGAAGATTAGGACAGAGCTGAGCGAGGGGCCGGGGAGGAAGGCACCGGCGCAGAGCAAGCCTGGCGCCCCCTCGAAGACTGGCCGGCCGAGGGGGGTCCGGAGCTCCGCAGATTCCCGGGGCCGGCCCAGGCCGGAGCGCGGCGCCCACCGAACCTCAGGCGCCGTCAGGCAGCCGTGGGTCCCCGGAGCTCCCGGTCAAGCGCGGAGCAAATCGCCCTTTATGAACTGGAAGCGGGGCCCCGGCGCGCCCCTATCGCCGCGATATCCAGCCCTGCGACATGCGCTGAGCCCTCGCCACACACCCCCACTCGCCGGCCTTGACTCTGCGCGTACCGGGGGAAGCCTCTGTGCATCCGTCCACCTCCTCTCACAGGCCCCCAAAGCCTTTTCATTCCCACCCAACCCCACCAACAGCTTCTAGTGGTAGTTCCAGACCCGTGTGTTTACTCTCCGCTAACACCCAACTCCCGGCCCTGCCTGCAGCCATTCCCCAGACCTAAAGGTTGACTAACCGCCGCAGTTGCCCGAGATGACATGAGCCTCCCTCTCTGTGAGCCTCCTGAAGACTCGGAATGCGGCCACTTTCTTATACCCCGGGCACACACCAAAAAACGGACAATTCAAAGTCACCGAATTGCATCTTTCTAAGCTTTGAAAACCTCTATCCAAGCCTGTGGCAAGGGATATATTCTACTTTGATTTGGGGTTCTTTAAAAAAAATTGGGAGGGGCAACTAAGTGGTGGTTATATATTCAAGTAAGTCTTTGTATAGCCCCCAAATTCACTCTAATGCTCAGTCACTCAACCCGCAAACATCTCTGCCTGCCTGTGTGTCCGGACTCATTCTATATTTGTCCACATCAAGTCCTAACCCCACAAAGGGATGGCTGTTTGCGACAGGCAGTTCACACCTGCCCGTTTCTCTTCTTCTGGGTGACCTGTGTCAGTCAATCTGCTCCTCAACTCGCCCCCAGAGAGTAGCTACAAATTGTCTAGGGTGGTGGGAGAGGGGTGTAACTTAATAAATGAAGGTCCGCGGGAGGAAGGAAAGGACAGATTTCTTTTGAAACCTCTTAAGCATCTGTTCTGTTCCCCCTCTGGGCCTGAAGAGCATCCCGTTCCTTACACTTGCCACCTACTGACACCAAATTTAAACACCTTTCCCTCAAAACTGAAGTAGTAGTAAAGAGCTATAAATGGACAATGACCTCTTCAAGGATGAGGCTCCCCCCCCCAAATACACTACAGGGTGTGCACTATAGTGTATTTGGGATGCAAAAGAGCATCACGTGGCTGAAATGCTGGAAAGTATAGATGCTGCGAAGCCCCCCCCAACTGACCCTGAAAACTACTAATGTATTTCATCCTGAGGTGTAGAAAAACAACTACCAAAAAGAAAGCTACAAGGGCGAATATTATTTGTTTTAGTGGCACCAAAAACACCAATCTCAGCAATTTACTAAATTAAAATCACAGTTCTTTAAACGTATTTAATGGTTCAAATTGTGTATTTGGTTTTAATTTAAATCTCTGGTAAAATTTACGGAAGACAGTGAAGTTGTTCCTTAAGCAACTTCTTCATTTAAAAATAAATAATATAAATAGGCAACAAATGTTTTGAGATATCCACAATATTTGTGTTTCTTAGCCTAGCTTCTTCTACTACATAAAATAATGCACTACTCATTTTTTTTTAAAGCGAATTAATGTCATCAGTTCAGAATCTTTACTATGGTAGTTCCCAGATATTCTTTTAAACAAAAACATATTTTTTCAACTCACAAGTAACAGAATATTTAAAGAACAAAGTTTCAATTTTCTTCCTCGTGTAAAATTTAGCAAACTCCAAGTGCATTCAATTTTGACAGCCCAGGGAAATGACCGCGCAATTTCCAGAAACTCTCCCAAAGATGCCCTCTAATTTCTCTCCTGACTTTAGCTCTATCTCTACCATCTTTTTCTTTTTAATTCTTCTATAGAAATTGAAACAAATAAAATCCGGTGAGGAAAGAAAACTATTTCTACAGTGATTTTAATTCACTTATTATTTCAGAGAAAATAATTAATATTCCAGTGAGGAATCCGCGAAAGTATAAGGGGAGAAGAAGAAGCATTTCATTCTTCGAATCTATAAACCTCCCTAGAGAACAGAAACTACGCGCGTTTTATGGAACTGCGTTAACTTTGGGTTTCCCTCCCAGATCTGAGTCAACTAAATATCGTGTTCCATAAAAGTGCTAGAATAGGTGGCTACATCTGTAGAGGTAAGAATCGTGGTTTTTCAGCGTGTCTAGGTGGGTGAGCCTCTCTGTTGCTGGAGGATGCTTCGAGGACCAGGCTTGGGAGGAAAGGGGTTAAGTCAGACCCTGACTTTCTCCGCGCAGCGTGCCCCGTTTTGTCTGTTCAAGTCGACGTCGTCCAGCAAGAGCCAACCAATGGGCGGCCGGGAGCTCCCGGGACAGCCCAGTGAAGGGGCGTGGCCTGAGGCTGTCCCTCAGCAGTGAGGAATGACACCCGGGCGGGGGTGTGTGGGGGGGTGGGCTACGGTGGAACTCTGAGGAAGGAAAGAGAGAAGAAACAGATAAAACCAAGACAAGGGGTAAAAGGGTGCCCCGAGCCTCTCGGAATCCAGCGGCCGTCGTCGCCGCCGCCGCTGGGGGTGGGCTCCGGAAGAGCCGGCCCAGCAGGGAAAGGAGACGACGATCCAGAAGCGAAATCCTGCAGGCGGGGAAGAGACAGAGGCGCAAAGAAAAAGTGACTCGGGCCGTGCACCCCGGAGGCGCTCAGGAGGGGACTGCAGCCGCAGAGGGGCCTCACTGATCCTCCCCCCACGTCCTCCGAGGGCCAGACCCCGGCCCGCCCCTAAGGGCGCGAGGCGATGAGATAATCCAGCTGAGCTGCGAAAGGAGAACTTCTGGCGCTGGATTGGGGGGGAGGGGGTCTCTGGGCGGGGTGGGCCTCGGAAGTGGGAGTGAGGGTCGGCGCTGATCCGGGGCCAGAGGGGGGCGGAGGCTGCTGGGCAGCCCAGGAGTGGGCTGCAGGGGCCTCGCTCGCGGGGCTCACTCGCGCTGCGGCGGCCCGCGCGCTCCATTCAGCTCGGAGCTGCCCCGCGCCCCAGCCGCCCGCCCGGCCGGCCGGCCGCTCCGGCCCGCGGCACAGATGGCTGTGCGCGGCGCCAACACCTTGACGCCCTTCTCCATCCAGGCGATCCTCAACAAGAAAGAGGAGCGCGGCGGGCTGCCCGCGACGGAGGGGCGCCCCGTACTCGGCGGTACAGCGGTGGCAGCGGCGCCCGCTGTCTGTTGCTGGCGGCTCTTTGGGGAGACAGACGCGGGCGCGCTGGGGGGCGCCGAGGACTCTCTACTGGCGTCGCCTCCTGGGACCAGAACGGCTGCGGGGCGGACCACGGAGAGCCCGGGAGGCTGGGATTCGGACTCGGCGCTGAGCGAGGAGAACGAGGGCGGACGGCGCTGCGCGGACCCGCCGGGGGCCAGCGGGGCCTGCCGTACAGGGGCGACCCTGGGCCTCGGCCAGCCGGTCTGTGAGCTTCCCGCAGCCAAGGACCTGGAGGAGGAAGCCGCGGGCCGGAGCGACAGTGAGATGTCGGCCAGCGTCTCAGGTCGGCTAAGGCTTCGCGGGGAAGGGGGCCGGGCTGAGGGGTTGGGCAAGGAGAGCAACCACGCCGAGTGGGGTGGGCCTGCTGTTAGCACCTTGTTCCCTGGGCCCCCCGGGTTAGCCAAGACCCTAAGCTCTGCGCATCGGCGCGGGCTGCTCTAAGCCTCTGGCAACTGAGCCCGAGAGAGGACCGAGAAACTCCTCAGAACGCTGCGTCCTGGGGTAAAGCCTCAGACGACGTCGTGGGGCAGTGTACTTTAGACCAGACTGGGAGAGAACCACTGCACCCTGGCTTTGAGTCCATTGCCAGTGCCTTCGGCTGAGTCTGTCTTCAAATCCCCAAAATCGAGGAAAGGGAAGAGCGAGGGTCCCAGAAACCTCGGGTAGCCAGTATCCGGGCCCTGGCCCAGAGATCAGAGATGCTCCCAGCTCGAGGTCTCAGAGCCCGCCCTGCAGCTCAAAGATACGTAACGAGGGACAATTTCTTTTTTTTTTCCTTTTTACATCTTTATTGGGGTATAATTGCTTTACAATGGTGTGTTAGTTTCTGCCTTATAACAAAGTGAATCAGTTATACATATACATATGTCCCCATATCTCTTCCCTCTTGCGTCTCCCTCCCTCCCACCCTCCCTATCCCACCCCTCTAGGTGGTCACAAAGCACCGAGCTGATCTCCCTGTGCTATGCGGCTGCTTCCCACTAGCTATGTACCTTACGTTTGTTAGTGTATATATGTCCATGCCTCTCTCTCGCTTTGTCACAGCTTACCCTTCCCCCTCCCCATATCCTCAAGTCCATTCTCTAGTAGGTCTGTGTCTTACTCCTAGGTTCTTCATGACATTTCTTTTCTTAAATTCCATATATATGTGTTAGCACACGGTATTTGTCTTTCTCTTTCTGACTTACTTCACTCTGTATGACAGACTCTAGGTAACGAGGGATAATTTCAAGTGGGCCGAAGGCCAACCGAGCCCGAGCTTCGGGAGGAGGGTTTCTTTAGCTTTCCCAGACCCCAGGCCCAGAAGACCTGTGCCGGGCTGAGGACCCAAGAGCTGGAGGCAAACCCTGCAGCCAGCTGAAGGCAGAGGGGCTTGATTTAGGTCATCCCAGACTCAGCAGGGGGAGGAACCTCCTCAACCACGAGCTGGCACGTCATTTGGTCAGAAAGACCCCCATGCCTGCCCCGTCGGCTGGACGGTGCTGTAGGCCTCACGCTGGCCCCAAGCAAATATTATCTGCTGCTGGACCTCCCTGCTAGGGTTCTGCGGGGAGAGCGGGGAAGAGGCAGGGGAGCTGTCGTCAGATTAGGGTCCAAGGATTCGAAGCAGGGACACCCCTCTACCCTCAACCCCAGCCCTCCTTGCATTGCCTTTGTAAGAGAGAGGGAGAAGCCTACCCGTGGCCTTGACTCAGCCTATTGCCATAGCCCTCCCACAATTCCGGGTGGATGGGGGCGTAAGACTCCGAATACTTCTGTCTCCAGGATCCATCTCCCCACTTTCTCTTTAGGCGCAGCCAACACGTGTGTGCTGTGACGATGCGTGTGTGAGTGTGAGTGTGGGGAGGCGGGCGAACCCAGGGAGGGTATCCGAAACGCCATCTAGAACCCCAGGGCTGAGGGCTGAGGGCTGAGGGCTGAGGAGAAGGCGTGCGAGGATGCTCAGGCCCAATGCCCACATTGCTGCGAGGAGCCTGGAGCCCAGAGAGGGCAAGGAGCTGGATCTTGGCTGCACAGCGTGGATACAGCGGCTGAGTTCGTTGCCGGCTCACAACAAGCTTAGCTGCAGGAAGCGAGTGGGACAGGGTTCTAAGACTTGCCTCCCGGACCCGCGGCTTCCAGGCCCTCCCCACCACTCCGGCGGCATGAAAGGGTATTTCCGCCCCCCACCCCGACCACAGCGGTTGAGGCCGGACCTCACTCCTCTGCGGCACTGACAGTGCCTCGTTTCTGTTCTCACTGTGTCCACAGGCGACCGCAGCCCGAGGGTCGAGGACGACGGCGTTGGCACAGGAGGCGCACGCGTGCCCACGTTGTGCAGCGGCAGCGGCGGCGGGCCCGCGGGCGGCGCAGAGGAGGAGGAGGAGCCCGTGGCGCCCAAGCCGCGCAAGAAGCGCTCGCGCGCCGCCTTCTCCCACGCACAGGTCTTCGAGCTGGAGCGCCGCTTCAACCACCAGCGCTACCTGTCCGGGCCCGAGCGCGCAGACCTGGCCGCGTCGCTGAAGCTTACCGAGACGCAGGTGAAGATCTGGTTCCAGAACCGTCGCTACAAGACCAAGCGCCGACAGATGGCCGCCGACCTACTGGCCTCGGCGCCCGCCGCCAAGAAGGTGGCAGTGAAGGTGCTGGTGCGCGACGACCAGAGACAGTACCTGCCCGGAGAGGTGCTGCGGCCTCCCTCGCTGCTGCCACTGCAGCCCTCCTACTATTACCCTTATTACTGCCTCCCCGGCTGGGCACTCTCCACGTGTGCGGCCGCCGCGGGCACCCAGTGAGCCGGCCTGGGATGAGGCAGCGAATGATCCCCGCGCCCCAGCTCCAGACGGGCGCTGATGGCTGTACAAGTTGTGCCCTGTACTGGAGAGCCCCGCGGAGGGGGCAGGTGGAGGATGAAATCCAGCCCTGGCTCTGCTCTCCAGGACGTGCGCCCTGGCAGCGGGACTGGGTCTACCCAGAGGGGGGCGCCTTTTTCTAGTTTGAACAGAGGCGTCCTATGGCCTAGGGACCCTGTTCCTACCCCCCGCCCCACTTGCTTGGAATCCCTTGGACATTATTTATTACCACCATAATGTTGGGTTTGGATTGTGTCTGCCTGGGGATGGCGTTTCCCAGAGAGGAGAGAACTCCTGGAGACCACACAAGCCTGAATCCCAGAATTTCAGGCCTGCCGGGAGCTTCGTGCGCTAGGCCACACTAGTTCATGGTATCCATGCTACCAATCTATGTGTATCTACATATCTATTATTTTTGGAAATTGCAATTGTTACAAAGGGGTTTAGAGCCCTGGCAGCCCCAAGAAGCCCCAGGCTAGGGGTTCATTGAACCATGAAATGTTTGGTTTGCGGGCCCTCCTCCCCACCCCTTCCCGGTGTCAGAGCTCGGGTGGGGGCGCCTGATTGGGTGCTGAATGTATGGAAGGGAGCCTCTGAGCACAGGACAGGGCAAGGGCCCCGCATCTTCCCTTTCGGAGGTCCAGGCTGCGACCAACTGGGGGAGCTCCTGGGAACCCCCGAACCAGGAGAGAGGAAACCCAGGAGTCCTTCGCAGAACCTTTCTTTCTTCCTTTCTTTTTCTTTTTCTTTTTCTTTCTTTCTTTCTTTCTTTCTTTCTTTCTTTCTTTCTTTCTTTCTTTCTTTCTTTCTTTCTTTTTCTTCCTTCCTTCCTTTCTTTCTTCCTCCCTTCCTCCCTTCCTTCCTTCCTTTCTTTCTTTCGGAGGTTAAAACTTATAGCACTTTTCAGTTGCTTGTATTCAAATGATGGTTATTTTTGTATTCAATGTGAATATCCTTGACCGGCCTTTCCTCGGCGTCCTCTGCAGTTCGGCCACTGGGCCCAGTCTCTACCGTTTAGCCTCGGCGACTCCTGCGTCCTGACCCAGGATTCTCCCATCCCTGTCCCTGCAACCTAAGACAGGTGATCCTGTCAACCTCGTGTCAACCTCGCCGCTTGTCGCCTCCTTAAGGGCACTGTGCACTCAACTAGAGTATTAACTTTTAAAAGATTTGTGAAATTTGGAAGCTCTATTCGTTGTATTTTTTTTTCCTTTAATTTATAAACTTTTAGTTTAACATGCCCTCCTGGACGCCGTGTTTTCTCTGAGCCTCTCTCTGTCCGGCTTCGGGGGAACCGGTAACGTGGGCTCATTTTCCCAACTTGTTTTCAGTCCAGGACAGGACACCTCGCTCCCCCCGGAAGTCTCCTCGCTGCTCACCCTCAGGAAGCATTTAAACCCGCGCAGCTCAGGGAATCGTCATTTCTGGGACTTTGCAGGAGTCACAGAGGAATCCCACTGAATCCGGAGCAAATACCTAGGATTCACGTTTTTACTCGTGGGCACTAGTATCAGAGTCTAGGAAGCATCCATAGCTGAACCCGCTCCCAATTTCCATCCCCCACCCTAACCTTTTCACTCCTCCACCTGCCGGCATCCTCTTTGCTTTCGATTTTCTGAGAGTTTTCTCTAAGCGTTCCTGCCATTATTTCATTTCCAGAATAGGCAAAAACTCGCTGGAATTCTGAAGCGGTTAGGGGAGACTGAGGAGCTAATAAGGTGTCTCCCGGGGAGGGTCACCTGTGCTTTGACCCCTGCCGGGTGCAAATGACGCTGCACCTTGTTCCAAAGCACTTCCACTCACTCCCTCATGACACGTTGTCACTTGATCCGCACAGAAGCCCACCGTGGGAGCAGAGGATGGGCAGGGAGATGGTTATTTATTACTCCATTTTAAAGATGAACGCGCCCCGCCGGCGTTCCCCAGAATGACTCTCCCCAAATGCCAAGGATTCACCGGAGCAAAGCGCTCACCGCTACACGCCCCTCACGTCGGGTCCGGGGAGAGCAAGCAAGAGTTAATGCCACACGGCAGGCGCCAAGGCCCCTGGTCCGTGGCCTCAGTTGGGAAAACACTGAAACCCAGACCCGGGCTACTTTCAATTTCACCGCAGCAGATAGGCCGCCTCGCCCTCCTCCTCCGCCTGCGATCTTTCCCAGCCTTGGACCCTCCGGCCTTGGCACCCCAAAGGCCTTGGCCGGGCTTCTGCTACCCCTCAGCCCGGAGGGGGCAGAGAGTCGCGACAAAGGCTTTACGAAACGATTCCCGCTTCTGGAAACAGTGAGACGGCAAGGGAAAAGCAAACGCCCTCAGGAGATGCACACCCTAGCCCCCAAGTCCAACTACCTTCCAAAGGATTCCTGCAATCATTTTGTTTCTTTCTGACATGTTTTTAAAATTCCACTTTAATTTCATCATTACTCATGAATGCATTTTCCTTAAAGAAAGTTAGAAGTTTTCCAGTAATGCTAGAATCCCTTCTCTTCTCTCCAGAGATCGCCATTACTGCGGGGTTTTTTTTGGAGGGGGGCAGGGTTTTCTTCCCCTTCTGAAAACGTCAATTGTTTGTGGCTGCGTCCTAAGACTGTAGTTTGCTCTCCATCCTTGCGGATTTGGAATCCAGAGGACTGGGAAGTTTCTTCCGTAGGCCAGGCGGCGCCCCTTCCTTTCCTAGTTCCCTCTCCGGCTCCCTGCTTGGGTCAGTTCTACTGGGCTGGCTCGAGTCGCTCGGGAAAAATGACTCAAACGAATTCAGTTTGACCCGGATTGTTGCAGTTTCACTCTGAGCTGCTCCGCGGCTGGCGTTGGCGCGAACGCCGTTAAGATCTGATTCCAGGAGCTGGAGGCAGCCTCCGGGTCCAGCCCACCCTCCGAGGATTTCCCACCGCATTTCGTGACCCAAGATGTATGTCTTTACCTGGACCCCAGGCCGCAAATGCGGCTCCTGTTGGAAAGTTTCGGTATTACTTTCTTCGTTTCCTTTTCCTTCTCTACTCCCACCCGTGCCCTTTCTTTGAAGAGGAGAAAGTTCTGCTTTCTGCCCGCCCTGTTCCTGTCCAAGGAGATCTTCCTTCATCCACTCCCTGCGACCCTGGGCCCCGCTGAGCCCTCTGGGCCTTCTCAGGACCTGGTTGCCAGGAACAGTTGTCACCTGAGTCAGGTAGACTTTTGGTTTCATCCTTCTCAATCCCTTTCAGCCCTTAGTGAATCTCAGACCTGGCCTTAAAGATCACTGGGTTCGACCCACACACTTAGATTGGGAGCAATGGCTGGGAAAGGGGACAGAACACGCTGTGACCCGTGCGGAAATCAGTTCCAAGGAATCAGGCTTAGACTAAAAATCTTGCTTTGGGCAGCAAATTTGGGATGATAGGCTACCAAATGTCACCGGTGGTGTGTGTGTGTGTGTGTGTGTGTGTGTGTGTGTAACTCAAACTCCCGACCTGTTCACCATGGCGATCCCAAGGCGCGTCTCACTCAAAGTGACTTGATTTGAGGGGTTCATGGACCCCCGGAGAGTATCTCTAAAGAGCTGGGTCAAGCAGGGAGAGTTTGGGGATAGATTCCATTTAAGAAAATAAAGGGCTTCCGGGCCACAGCAAATCCCGCTCCTCCACTCTAGCAAGGGAAAGAGGGTGACGGCGAATCTGACTTCATTTGAGAAAGTCGGAAGAGAGCTCAATACACATGTCCCCGCGCCTCTGAGAGGCAGCTTAGTGGTAGCGGTGCCCCGAACCCCGAGAGGCTGGGCCTGAGGAAGAGCGGCATCTAGGGGACCGGGAAACTGGCAGAGTGTGTCAGAGCCACACCGAGCATCCCACAGAGGCAGGACCTCATCCAAGGCCTGCAGACGTCCGCGGGGTGGGGACCCCAACTGGCTACCGGAGCTCGGTCCGGCCAGGCCGATACTCCACCCGCGTTTCATCACCAGGAGAAAGGTAGAAACCGACCTCTCTCAAGTCCATGGAATTCACCTCGCCTTATAGAAGGGCTCCTGCCTCGGGGAAAGCTGAGCAGTGGGGAGAATCACACATTCCCGGGAACCAGAACACTGGTGGAGCAGCTTCTGGGCCCGAAGGAGTGGAGGGGAGCGAGGCAGACCCGTGCTGGGGCTCAGACCTATGCCAAGGAGCTGCAGGGCTTCAGTCTTGCAGGCCACCAACCTCCCCCTGCTAACAGTCTTCGTTGGGAATCACATCGAGCTCCATGGGACCTGCTGGACCCAGCATATGCTTGAAAGACCTGAGGGCAGGCGGGGCGGATTGATGCATCGCAGGTGTAGCCGCGCTACTGCAGAAGTCAGGTCACCAGTGAAAGTGTGAAGGCCGCACCGCCAGCGGCCAGGGAAACAGGAGCAGAGGCCGGAAGGAGCGGCCAAGCAATACATACCACCACCAACAACAATGATAACAATAACTATAACTCTATTCCTTTGTCTGGGACATTACAAGTGAAAAAGTGCTTCCTGCATCCTGTCCCTCGGTAGTTCCTTGAGGCCGCCTTTTAGCTGGGTGGACATGACCTCCATTTTGCAGGTGGGGAAACTGAGGCTCAAAGACGCAATGTGACTTGCCCAAAGTCACAGGCCGTTAAGAGGCCAAGTCGGAGTCATTCAAAGATTAGAAGCATATTTTAGGATTTGAGGCAGCAGGGTGAATTGTCCTTCAGCTTCAGAGCTAGCATTCCCCACGTTTGGTTTCAGGGTGGTTGGATCACAAGAGGGTGGGTGTGCTTTGAAAACCATTAAGCACTGTGCAGCTGGTGTGGACTTATTATTATTGTTGCCATGATTATTATTATTATGAACTTCTGGGCAATGCTGAGTTGGCTGATCTTAAACAATCTTCCTTGAACTCCTGCATCCTTCAGAGGTTTCTAAGTGCTCTGTGGTGTGCTCCACGAAGGGGCCCTCAGAGGGATAGATAACCTGGGCCTCCTCCAGTTTTCGAGTTTCCTGATAAATATGTTTTTGAAAT